GGGCGGCTTTTGGGGGTTGTCACACAGCCAAGGGCGGCGGCGCGGCCCCTCAGGGGGCGCCTCGCCTTGAATGGTGCATTACTAGAAGGGCGTGTGCCCCTAGCGCAGCCTGGTACTGGCGCAAGCAGTTCGCATATCATGGCGCCAGGGGCTGCCGTGCAGCAAAACCGCCCCCGCCGTGATGCTCAGCAGGCTGGGAAAGGTACGTAATCAGCAGGACCAGCTGTCAACCGCTCCTGTCGATTACCCCTGAAGCCCTCGCAGCCCGTCCGTCCCTCGAAGTCGGCCGCGCACTGGGCACCTGCCCCTGTGCCCCCCCCCCCCCAACACGGCGCACCTGTCAGCCGCGCGCCCAGCACCCCCGCGGCCCTGGCAGCTTCCACCAGCTCCTCCAGCTCGGGGCAGCTGCAGTCGTACAGACGCGAGCAGCTGGCATGGCTAGCGTCCATCAACGCCCCCAGCTGACACAAGGTTGCATCGCCGCCGCCGCCGCCGCCGCCGCCGCCGCCGCCGCTGCCGCCGCTGTCGCCGCCGCCGCTGTCACCACCGTCGCCGCCGCCGCCGCCGCTGCCGTCGCCGCGGCTGATGTGGGCCGAGGCGTCCTGCGGCGGCGTCATCAGGGATGAGGGGTGATCCAGGTTGGGCGGGGGTTGGGGCGATGGCTGAGCGGTACTCTAATGATCTGGTGATCTTGAAGTGTTGCAAGCCCAGCCTAGACCATGGGGCTGCCTGCAGCCTGCGGGGCTGAGGGCGCCACATGCTTGAGTTGCGCCCACATGGGCCCCTACGACCCAGCCTGCCACAATCAGCCCCGCTGTCGCGCTCCCCCGCCCGGCCCCTCGCCGTGCGCACCACTCACCCCCCCCGGCATTATGACCCCAAACAACAAACTCACCCACCTCTGCCGCCGCCCTGAACCTCAGCACGCGGTCCGCCTCTGAGTACACGTGCGCCGCCCTGTCGCGCAGCCGGAAGCCGCTGTCGGCCGCGGCGCGCAGCACGCGCAGCGCGCGGGGGTCGCCGGCAAACACCTGGCCCAGGGGCAGCCCAAGCTCCTCCTCCACCTGGTGGGTG